GACACCTTCATAATCTGGCCACATGGGAAAGAAAAACTGGACAACTTCCTCACACACCTCAACAGCCTACACCCCAAAATACAGTTCACCATGGAAACAGAAGCTAACAACCAACTTCCCTTCCTGGATGTCTTAGTCTACAAGAAATCCAATGGCTCCCTAGGACACACCATCTACCAGAAGAAAACACACACAAACCGCTATCTGCACGCTCTCTCACACCACCACCCAGCACAGATCAACTCTGTAGCCAAGACACTCATCTCCAGAACAAAACGCTTAGCTGACGAACAACACCTAAAAAACGAACTACACACTCTCACCAATGTACTAACATCCAATGGATTCCAAGAAATAAGATTACAAACCTAATCCAAAAAGAAACCCCCACTAAAATCCAAGACGAAGAACAAGAAAACGGCAAAGCCCTCCTCCCATACATAAAAGGCACCACAGACAGAATCAGTAAGATCCTCCATAAACACAACATCAAAACAGCATTCTGCACAAACAGAAAAATATCCACCATCCTTAGAAACCCCAAAGATAAAATTGAATTAGAAAATCAAGGAGTATACGAAATCCCATGCACCACTTGTCCCACCACATACATCGGACAAACCAACAGAAGAATAAGTGCACGCATTGAAGAACATAAGAACTCAGTCAAAAAAGAGGAACCAACATCTTCCCTGGTCCAACACCTTAAAGCCACAGGACATGAAATTGACTTTAAAAATACCAGAACCATTGCCAAAAGTGAACATTTTAATAACAGAATAATCAGAGAAGCCATCGAGATAGAAAAACGCCCCACACAGCATGAACAAGCGAGATGATACTCCCGCCTACCAGCCATTTGGAAACCCGCCTCTTATTGACAAACGACTCCCTAACACAAAAAATGATACCAGACCCACATCACAAAAACCACACAGGATGTCACCACCACACATCCACGCAAAAGCAAACCCAAAGCCACACCGATGATGAGGCACGACCACAAACCAGAAGCCAGACCAGAGCTGCATCATTAGCCACTTTAAAGCCCTCCAATCCATACACGAAGCAAACTGACACCCTCCATGAAAATGAAGCACGACCACAAACGCGAAGCCAAAAAATAGCAAGGCAGCCCAAAATCTTAAACCCCTCTGCAACTCAGACTAACCTGAGCACAACCAAAACAAATACACTCCCCCACAATCAGAGAACAGACAACCCCCAGCCAATCAGAGCACAGCCAAGCCCCTAACCATTCAGAACACACCTCCACCCAATCAGAACACAGCCAAGCTCCCACCCAATCAGTTCATACCCCCACTGGCAGTTAAAAGGAAGAAACAGATAAGACCACACATTGCTGCTCGAAGCACGAAGCTGAAAACACCAGCCTGAAGATGACGAATGGGACTTCGTCGAAACGTCGCCAAGACACTTCCAATTTTACGCGGGAGAAAACCCGAACAACCAAAGACCTACATACAAACACCCGCGAAAACCTTGGAAAACAAATATTGAACCTCTACGGGAGGAAATCCACCATCTGACCAGGACCTATGAAAAACTTGAAGTCCAAAGAGCTTCCATTTTATGTGACCTCGCATTCCTACGTAACTGCCGAGATCAAAATCTAATCCCCACATGTTTCCAACTGAAATTCCACTCCACCTCTGCAGCCACCAAACGGATCCTGAAAAGAACAGAATTGGCCCTAATCAGAAATGAACTTCACACAAAAAGATTCCTCCTAGACCGAATTAACAAAGATCTCCTCACACTCCACATCAAACTCAGCAACAAGATCCACCCCGCACTTTGGGACAAATCCAAACAACTCGCCGTCTGGAGAGCCGAAACACAGACCACCCTCAAGACAGATACACACACCAACAAACTCCGAAAAGACTTACAAGAACGCCAGAAGAAACAAACCCCTCCTCCCTCCAGCCACACAGAAACAAACAGTGAATAAATCTCAGACGGATCCTCACCAAAGACAGACAACCAATGTCTACCTTTCCAAAGGATTCAACTTGCAGTCACTCCAAAACACATCCCACTGAAAACCATTAATATGTGGAGTGAAACTCAGGCCTGACCAAAATCAACACGACGAGCTAACAGAATCAGACTTCGGAAGAGCACCAACATCCTCTGTACAGCAAGCCACCCAAAAGCAAACTTACCCAAAGAGGAACAGACAGCACTACGTAGCCTGAAAGAAGACACCAGCATAAAATCCTACCAGCAGACAAGGGCAAGCACGGTGGTTATGAACACATCTGACTACCAAACCAAATTAACCAACCTACTCCAAGACTCCACATACAAACCCCTAAATACAGATCCCACCACCTACCTGGAAAAAACCACCAGATCCAAAATAAAAGCCTCCCCATTAGCGAAGAGATCCAGCAAAGAATCATTCCCAGAGAGAAATCATCCAGATGCCCCAAACTCTATGGTCTCCCCAAGATACACAAAGAAGGAACCCCACTCAGACCTATAGTCAGCTCCATAGGCTCACCTCTACAAAACCTGGCCAAATTTCTCGCCAAACAACTACAGCCCTATGCAGAATCCATCACCTCACACGTAAAAAACTCATTCCAGTTTATAGAGATCATAAAGAAACAAAACTTACAGCCCAGCGACATACTCGTGAGCTTCGATGTCATATCCCTCTTCACCCAAGTGCCTATCAAAGAAGCCTTGACAGCTATCCAAAACAAATATAATCCCCCCAAACACATCTTAGATCTGACAAACCACTGCCTATCCAACACATACTTCATCTATAATGGACAAAAATACAAACAAACAGAAGGAGCACCCATGGGATCACCCCTCTCACCTGTCATTGCCAACCTCTACATGGAACACTGTGAAACCCAAGCTCTAGAAAAATCGGATCACAAACCCAAACTCTGGCTCAGATACGTAGACGACACATTCATAATCTGGCCACATGGGAAAGAAAAACTGGACAACTTCCTCACACACCTCAACAGCCTACACCCTCGAAGCACGAAGCGAAAACACAGCCTGAAGATGACGAATGGGACTTCGTCGAAACGTCGCCAAGACACTTCCAATATGTACGGGGAGAAACCCGAACAACCAAAGACCTACATACAAACAACACGCGAAAACCTCCAGAAAACATATAGTATTATATATATACTATATATATGATATATATATATATATATATATTTATTCTGAGGTTTTCGCGGGTGTTTGTACGTAGGTCTTTGGTTGTTCGGGTTTTCTCCCGCGTAAAATTGGAAGTGTCTTGGCAACGTTTCGACGAAGTCGCATTCGCCATCTTCAGGCTAGTGTTTTCAGCTTCGTGCTTCGAGGGGCAATGTGTGGTCTTAGCTGTTTCTTCCTTTTAACTGCCAGTGGGGGTATGAACTGATTGGGTGGGAGCTTGGCTGTGTTCTGATTGGGTGGAGGTGTGTTCTGATTGGTTAGGGGCTTGGCTGTGCTCTGATTGGCTGGGGGGTTGGCTGTGCTCTGATTGGCTGGGGGGTTGGCTGTGCTCTGATTGGCTGAGGGAGTGTTCTGTTTGGTTGTGCTCAGGTTAGTCTGAGTTGCAGAGGGGTTTAAGATTTTGGGCTGCCTTGCTATTTTTGGGCTTCGCGTTCGTGGTCGTGCCTCATCTTCATGGAGGGTGTCAGTTTGCTTCATGTTTGGATTGGAGGGGTTTAAAGTGGCTAATGATGCAGCTGTGGTCTGGCTTCTGGTTTGTGGTCGTGCCTCATCATCGGTTTGGGTTTGTTTTTTGCGTGGATGTGTGGTGGTGACATCCTGTGTGGTTTTTGTGAGTGTGGGTCTGTTATCATTTTTTGTGTTAGGGAGTCGTTTGTCAATAAGGGCGGGTTTCCAAATGGCTGGTAGGCGGGAGGTATCATCTCGCTTGTTCATGCTGTGTGGGCGTTTTTCTATCTCGATGGCTTCTCTGATTATTCTGTTATTAAAATGTTCACTTTTGGCAATGGTTCTGGTATTTTTAAAGTCAATTTCATGTCCTGTGGCTTTAAGGTGTTGGACCAGGGAAGATGTTGGTTCCTCTTTTTTGACTGAGTTCTTATGTTCTTCAATGCGTGCACTTATTCTTCTGTTGGTTTGTCCGATGTATGTGGTGGGACAAGTGGTGCATGGGATTTCGTATACTCCTTGATTTTCTAATTCAATTTTATCTTTGGGGTTTCTAAGGATGGTGGATATTTTTCTGTTTGTGCAGAATGCTGTTTTGATGTTGTGTTTATGGAGGATCTTACTGATTCTGTCTGTGGTGCCTTTTATGTATGGGAGGAGGGCTTTGCCGTTTTCTTGTTCTTTGTCTTGGATTTTAGTGGGGGTTTCTTTTTGGATTAGGTTTGTAATCTTATTTCTTTGGAATCCATTGGAATCCATATATGGATTTCTTTGGAATCCATATGGAATCCATCTATTCCAATCCATTGGAATCCATATATATATATATATATATATATATATATATATATATATATATATATATATATATATATATATATCTTACATATCAGATAAACTGAAATAACCATAGAATGTACACCCTATATTGAAATGTATTTTTATCAGAAATTGGGTAAGGAGTAAAATAAAATAAAATAAAATATTTTATTCATGTAATAGTAGAAATGAGCAATTAGAAACTGTTTTGTAATATTAAGTATACTGTGTATATTACTAAAAACAGTCTTAAATGGTTATAGTGTACAATCATGTTAAAAGTAATTTCATGTTAGACCATCAAGCTTTTAAATAAATGTTGTTGTTGTTATTTTGAAAAGCAAGAGTAATATTTATTAGGTAAGAAAACTACCTAGAATTTGGATTGCCAGGTTCAAAACCAGCACCAGATGGGATTTGGATATGAATAAGAATAATATATCTATCTGAAAAACTTACACACACACACACACACAATTTTCCTAATACAGTCATTTTGGAATAACTGAACCTACCTTCAACACCAACTTTGAACTCATGCTTTGTTTCTCCTAAATCATTTGAGGCTACACATTCATAGGTTCCTTCATCATCTCTAGTAACTTGTTCTATTTTCAAAACTTTTCCAAAAGTCTCAGTGACTCCTCTGAAAATGCTGCCTCTGTCAATCCTTCTCCATGTTAAATGGGGTGTTGGACTAGGATAAATTAAAAAAAAGAAAGAAAATATTTATGTTAAAAAATAACATGGTTTTACCCTCCCTCCATTCAAGAGTTCTACCTTATGTAGATGTCAACTAATGCTTATATATAATGTTGAGTGGCCATATAAATCTTTTCATTAAATAAATAAATAAATGTTATATATCACAGTAAGCTGTGGCATATCCCTTAAAAACTGCAATGGTTTTGGAGACAAGTAAAATAATTGCTTGTTTTACAAATTCTCTGTGTTCTTGTCTTGTGCATCAAAGAACTGGGCATGAAGTGAAGCTTAAACACTGATTAGGAATAACCCAGGAAAATTGCAATTAAAGTATTCTTCCCCATACTTATTTCTTATTCCATATTTGCCACCTGTAAGTCAACAACACATTATTATTTCAAAATATGCATTGCAAAATATCTCTTTCTCTGTTGGGTATGGAATTTACACAAATATTTGGATTTTAAAAAGAATTTTTAAATAATAATAATAGTAGTAGTAAAGTTGGAAGGGACCTTGGAGGTCATCTAGTCCAACCCCCTGCTCAGGCAGGAAACCCTACACCATTTCAGACAAATGGTGTAGGGTTTTTCTCTAATCTGACTTTGGAAAAGGATAGTAAAAGGCAAAACAGCTGAATATTAGGAATATTGTGTGTGTATATATATATATATATATATATATATATATATATATTTACAAGCAAATCATAATGAACACAGTCAGTTCACCTATTGTGCCATGAAGAGCATGGGATATCAGAGATAAACTGTGTGCAACAATACGTGTATTTAGGCATGCAATAATTTGGAATCTGCTAGCTTGCTAAAAGCAGAAAATGTGAATATTACTGCACTGTCAAACCATAGCGTTGAGGGCCACAGAGCTAGCTGCAGCATTTTTTGAACAAATTACTACACCCTCTTGGATTTAGTTGAGAAATGACAGTCTTTTTTTAAAAAAGGATAATCTTAGGTCACCACCAGAACTGAAGCATACTGGAAATGTGGAAAGTCACTGTGATGATTTCAACAAAAGTTTCCACTGTACTTAAGAGAAAATGGCTGCCACAAAGAAAAAGGCAAGCAGAAAAGAGTACTAAAATGCAAAACCTCTTTATCTTTTTTTTTTGTGTGTGTGTGGATTAAGATAAAACTGAGGGGAATGCTCTCTTGAGAACAGTACAAGGCAGGTTATACAAAGGCTCTGTGAGGGAGATGGGTGATTTTAAAAATTGATAAACAAACAAATAAATACCAAATATAGCGAGTATATTCTCCCTTTTCCCCACTGTGATTTTCCTTTTCCTTTTTTCTTTTATTTGCAAACTCTGCTTAAGTTAAGGAATTAAGCTCCACAAATTATCTGAGGTGCCATTTTTATCAAACTTTTCATTGCTATATACACATTTTCAAATCTTCTCTCCTCCTCTTAGCTAAAGCAGGTCCTCCAGCAAAATATGGTTCCTATTTTCCACAATCTCAGGAACAGCAGTCATCACAAGACTGAGATACCAAACATCCACAGTTACAGTTAATTGGAGGCTTCATTTAATTTATACTGTAGTGTTCATTTTGTATTTAGAATAATTTTGCCCGAATATTAAATAATTAAAATCTGATATCTTTGCTCTCCTCTGAGGAAATAGCTGAAACACTTTGATTCTTTTATGTATAAAAAAATGGAAGAAACTGTTGTATATGTGGTAACTAGGTTCAGTTCAGCAAAATGCACTTTTGACCATTTTTTTAAAGATCTCTTCATGAATATGTATCTGAATTCTCAATCATGCTGGTGACATAATGGTAACATGTTTGGTCTTCTAAGCAAACTGATTCAGTTTGTCTATCACACTAAGACAAATCACCATCCATATAACCATGTGCCTGTTTTGTTGCAAAAACCTATGGGATTTGTATTTCCTGGAAGCTATATTGTCTTTTTTTCCAAAATAAGTAAAAATATACACAGCATTATCGATCGGCTACTATAGCTTAAAAATAGTCTAGAATGCTACTAAGAACTTGAGCTTATTTCATCTAGTCCACAATGGCTTTATAATTATAAATGGGGTTAAAGATTTTTCTGGAAGGGCAATAATCAATTCTTTGTCTTCCTAGCCAGCACAAATTCTCCAAACGATTAAATATAAAAAGAACTTTGTGTTTTGCAGAATAATTGTGAATTCTCATAACAAGAAAGAGAGACATTCAGGCCAGGCTGCTAACTTAGCATTTCCAGCTGGCTTTGCTATTGCCAACACTGTGCATGGCATAAACAGAACAGAATCACGTCAGCTTATTCTTGTGTCCACCTGTTGGGATGGCAACATGCCAATGGTCAGGTTACTATCAGTTCCAAGTTCCTAAAAATATAATAGGGCTGACAAAGCCCAAATATTTACAATATCTTTCTGTAACTTTAGGTATCTTTTTAAAATAATAATAATAATAAATTACTTTTGCTTCTTTGTTAATAACAGGTAGTCCTCAACTGCAATTGAGACCAAAATTTAGGAAGATAGTTAAGTGAGTTTTGCCTCATTTTATGACTTTTATGCCACAGTTGTTAAGTGAATCACTGCAGTTATTAAGTTAGTAACATTATTGTTAAGTGAATATGGCTTCCCCATTGACTTTGCTTGTCAGAAAGTTGCAAAAGGTGATCACATGACCCCACATATTTATGAACCATCATAAATATGAATCGGCTGCCAACCAGTTTGATCACAATGGCCATACCTCACTTTTTTCAGTGCTGTTATAATTTTGACAAGTCAAGGATTTGTTATAAGTTGAGGACTATCTGTATTGCTGTCGGTTTTTTTCTTTGCTTTGCTGTTATTTTTCAAGTCAAGTTCTAAAATATGAATACTCACAGTCCTTCAGCAATGCATTCCAGAAAAAGATCCATTCCTTTCATAAATGTCACTTCTGAACTGGGACCAGAAGATTCAGGGACAAGTAGCTTAGGTTTTCTTTCTTTGATTAAATTTGCTAAAAGGGAGAAAAGTAATTTCAGAACTTTTGAAAGAAGATGAATTCAACTCTTCCTGATTTTATAAGGAATGTTCAATAAAAATAACAGTGCTAATTCATTCACATATGTTCTACGTGTTATCTATATATTATAATAGCATATTCTTTCCTGCTAGGTTGATTTTTTTCAGCTGCTTTAGAATATACTTCTAAAGTTTGCAAACAAAATACTATACAATAGAATGTGGTATGTTAATTGTAATTTGTGGATAAAGTATATGAGTGCAGTATATTCTTGACATTGTAGGAATAGTAGAAATAGAATTAATTGTGAAATTTGTGAGCTTCAAGTTAAAGGTACAAGCTTTGAAAGTGAGAAGAAATGGCAACATCCTTAAGTAGACTCCTATGATAAGGAGGTTAGGAGGAGGAAGAAATGTTGGATAATTGCAGGGTTTAGAGATAGCGGGGGAGAGAAGGACCTCCTCTTCCTGAGGCTCTACCCCTCAGTGTCACCTGGCCTAAAGAAAAGTTATATTCTTCATCTTTCCAATTAGCTAGTTTAATTATAATTTCTCACATCATTTCTAAAAAGAGATTAAATTGTGTTTTTTTTTTCCTATGAACATGGAACATGGAAGGAACATGGAAATTATAATCAGGAAGAGGCTTGGGAAACTCAATAGTATCTTTTGGGTTCCGCTTCTTATTAGAGATTTTGAAGGAAATCTATATGGTCATTAGAAATTCAAAACAACATGGTGGCACACAATCAATAATCAATCTTATTGGAGAAAGTTGGGCTACATGGGGAATCTTGGCAGCTTGGACTAGATCCAAAATTTGGAGTTTTCTATTCCTGTTTTATTGGGTAATCATACCAAATTACTGTTTTCACTTATATGGGGGGAAACTGACACACACACAAACACACACACACTCACACACATCCTGTCATTTGCATGTTTCTGTGTAAAATGCAATATATTTTAAGTAGCATCTTTTATTCATTTTAAACTGAATTGAGGCATGAAATGTTAAACAGTAACAACTTACCCTTGGCTGCACTAGATGAACTGGAATCATTAGTATATTTTACTGCAACAGACAGAAATGGAGACCAAATGGAAACATGAATGGTGATGAAATTTATCAAATAAATGATGAATATAATCAGACTGAGTAAAGAATTCAGATTATGCTGACGTAGACCCATTTGCAAGGTGAACTTTGTTTGTTCTATCCATGTCGCATGAAACTGAAATTGCTAAAAGTATCCTCCTTTGTAAAAATGGGATGGGAGGGATGCTATTTGAATACAACTAGAGTATTCTGCTAATCTTCTGGACTAAGATCATATTATTTCCATCTAAAACAAAATCCATAATTGCCGAAGATGCAATGCAAGCATGCATAGTGATAATGAACACATATACAAATGATGAAAAATACCCAAAGATCTCACATTTAGCTAATATTTTAAAGAATGCTCTTCCATCATGGCTCATTTAAAACCCTTTCTGCCAATCCTTCAGCAGGCAGAAGATTTTATTGATTGATTGATTGATATTTAAAGCCTGTTCCACTTTCAGAAGACTCTTGTTAAACCAAATCACAATAAAAGCATCATTATCAAATGAAAAACAAATTCAACATATGCATCTCACAAGTAAACTGGAGCTTCAATTTTTGCTGCTGCCACACTACTGATCCTATGTTGCAATAGGCAATGGGGCAATATGTAAGCCTGAATACTATTGCTATTATTAGGTGGATTTCTTTGGCCCATACAAAAACAAACAAACAAACAAAAAAAAACAATTCTATAAGCTTGGGATGAACCTTCAGTCTAGCCATCCATCACATCTCACCTCATCTCTCCACTTCCAATCCATTTTAAGGAGACAAAGTAGTAGATGTTTTTCCAGGAGCAACTGTTGGAACAACTGTTGTTTGAAGGAGAACAAAGCCAGAGGAATTCCCCAATTCCCGTTTGTAACATGCCTTGCAATCAGTACATAAGGATACTATCATTTGACAGCAGTTTGCCTATGACAACATAGGAATCAGTAGCGGGGCAGCAATTAATTGGTTATGAAATCCTAAAATTGAATTTGTTTTGCTTTTGGTGATGATCTTTTATTGTGTTTTGGTTTCACGCTACCATAGTATATTTTCTTTCTAATATCATAGAATTGTTTTGTTTTGAAGAGCCATGGTGGATAGAATGCAGTATTGCAGGCTGACTCTGCCCACTGACAGGAGTTTGATCCTGAGCAACTCAAGATTGACTCAGCCTTCCAAGGTTGGTAAAATGAGGACCCAGAATGTTTTGGGGGGGGGGCAATATGCTGACTCTATAAACTGTTTACAGAGGGCTGTAAAGCATTGTGAAGCAGTATATAAATCTAAGTGCTATTACTATGTGCTATTGTTTTTCTAAGTGGATTGTTTTATATTACTTTTTGTCCTATGTGAGCCCTTCATTACTTTTTTTATTGCAGTGACATACAGATGTGTTAAACAAATTATGTCTCCTTATTTTTTAGATTTTTTTCCAATCACAGTGGGTAGAAGAACGAAGGCTGACAATGATAAAATAATGTAAAATTTATCCTGAACTATATCTTAATAAAATGAAAACAGATTATTCCTGACTTAAACAAAGTTAGGTGAATTGTTCTATGGTAAAAATGAATTTTATTCTGTATTAAAAAATTAATTACTAGGGAAATAATTTAATCCTATCTTTCTTGAGATAAGTGGAGAACCTATTTATTTTCACGCAATAGTTTAATCTTTTCAATATTTTATGTATATGAACATTTTGTACAATCCTATACATGATTATTAAGATGAAAATCCTATCTTATTGAGCTGGGCTAAATCTAAACTGTAAATTCAAAAAAAAAAAAAATAAGAAATAATAAGTTTAAGCTTCTTCTGTTTAGTTAGAAGTTGTTTCGTGTTGAAAAAATGGATATCTTATCCCATCATATTGTTCAAATATAGTTATACAATAATGTGGGTTGTGAGCAAAGTTCATGTATGGCTTTGGCAATAAATAAGATTTTGAAGGATGTAGAAGTGAGGTAATATCTTAAGAACATTTGTGGATTATATGGGTCAGCTGTAATGAACCACCTAAGAATGTAGTCAGTATCGTAGTAGTGATATTAAAACTGCTACCCAAGGCAATCTTATGTTGCCACAGAGTCCAATTTGGCAAGACACCAGACATAATCAAAGTCTATTTCAGTAACATACTCTGACAGTTTATCAGTCACAGGTAGTAGCCCTTAGCTAAACTTCACTGAGCTCATAGAAAGTAAGCAAGGAAACTCAGTTAGTATTCAGATGATATATCATCAGAAAATATAGTTATAGACTATATTAGGTAATTAAAAATAAAACTAAGTGAAAATCAATCCCAGAAGGCAATAACAAATTAATTCCACATTTGGGGGGGGGGGGGAGCAGGTGAGATTCAGGTGGTCACCAAGAGTGGACTTTACATTACATTCCCCAAAGTGGTTACCTAAATGAGGAATTATTCAGGATGGAACTGAGGTGGGTATTTGTCCTATGACTTAAACAAGGAGGAGAAGAACCAATCAATTTATATGTTACAATCAAGAAGGAAAAAGGAGGAAGTTTCAAATGAAGTCTCTCAAATTTTCTAGTGGCCCTCAGTAGCTCCATCACCACAAATCATTCTGTCTTCTCATTTTGATTGATTTTTTTTCTATCCAAGAGAAAATAAAATGGGTAGATATATTGCTGACAAGTGCCTTCAATAATATACCACATGCTAGTTCAACAGGAAAGCACACATTACTCTCAGTTCCCATTTATATTAAAAGGAAATTATCATTTGGTGCCTCTGAAAAGAAGCTGATTTCCAGCCAAATCAGGGTTAGATTTTTATAGTTTTGAGGTTCAGAACAAAACAAGAGAAATCTTTTGGCGAGCTAACAGCTGCAGCAGTTTTATGAGCTGGGCCTAGCTGTCATCACTACGACAGCAGTGTGGAATTGAATACATTTGCATATATTTCTTCAGCAAAAAATGATGATTAAAAAAAAAACACCCTCATGTCACATGTAAGAATTACCAAAAGAATCAAAGGTTGGAAGCAGACATTAGAGCAGATGAGAGATAGAGGAAGAAATGAAGAAAGAAAGAAGAGAACCAATTTCCCAGACTTACAACGTGTAACCGTCAACGTCATTGGCATTTTCTGTACAATAGTTCTTAATTTTGGAAATGCAGCAAAGCAGCAATAATCACTACGGCTGTCATTTTCATCCACATTTGCAAAGTAAAGGTCCCCATTAAGGCCCATGGAGACCCTTTCATCTTGTGGGATATGCTGCAAGTCTGAAAAGGGGGAAAATGGTAATGATTCAGTATCTGACCCTTGATCCCAGGTAAGGAAATAGCTCTTTGGTATTAATAATGCATGTGACTTGAAAGAATATACAGAATATTTGCTAGTTTTCCACTATGCTATGTAGGGGAGGAAAAATCACAAGTAGAACAAACTGCCTGGATATCCTCTTGCCAACCATAAAATATATACTGTATCTATATTGCATACTTGATATTGCATACATTTTTCTGTGACAGAATTCATTTTTTTTTTTGCAAAATAATGCACCATTTTCATTGTGCATTTGTTAAAGAATTATTCAAGCCAGACCTGTACTCTACATGTCATGGCTGTCAAGAAGCCACTTATCCTGTCAATTAGAATAGGCTTGGATGGCACATACAAAAGTATAATGTCTATCCTTTATTTTTTTTACGTTTGTATAGACGAACTCATTATATGATTTATTCTTACGTGTAAATCAGTCCAATGTACTAAATGTACCCATGTACTTAATTCCATAATATAATTCCATGTTTTAATTTGAAAATGAGAAAGTTCATAGACAACTTTGAGAACAGAGAAACTTGGACTGAATGAGAGAGATGGTGGGCTGCTAGTTCTTAGCACAAGCTTCTCTAAAGGATAAAAGGAATTTTACCCCACTGAATTCAGTAAGGGTCTGGCCTTGGTTCTCCTTTCTTATCTTGGTTTCTTTGGTGACTTCATCCCTCTCCTGCATTAACTTATACATGCTGATTCTTCTGCTCCATCAAACAAAACCATATGCCAATGATGGCGAACCTTTTAGAGAACGAATGCCCCAAAACTGACCCCGCCCTCACTCCACCCACTGCCCCACCCCACTCCATCCCACCTTCCCTGCCTGCAGGGTCACTCACCGCCTCAAGGGCCCACTGCAGATCGCCCACGCAGCCCAGCAGCACCATGGTGGCCACACCCTCTGCCCACCCCCCACAGCATCAACTGTGTGCATTGGGGCATGAGAGCAGAGTCTTGTCTACACTGCCTGGCTCCCATGACTTGGCTGCGCTGCTCTGTGTGGGCCACACTCAGGGGCGACTCTCCTCCAGGGAGGCTGCTGGTGAGGATGGGATCGCGGGTGGAGGCAAGGCTGGGGCAACGGCACATGTACCCACAGAGAGGGCTCCGAGTGCCACTTCTGGTACCCGTGCCATAGGTTCGCCACCACTGCCATATGCTGATTCCTTCTTCTTCATCACCCAAAATGTATTTACTGAAATGGCTACACCTGTTTGAAGGGCACTACTTCCATGATCTGGATGGGCCTCTTAAAAGATAAGGGTTTTAGGAAGCTCAAGTAGAATAACCATCTTTCACACCACTCTTATTCCTATGTAAAAGGGTTTTGTATTAAGGCTTTTCTGATTTTACCACAATTCTTATAAGTTGTTTTCTTATTTGTAGTAAATATTTTTCATGTTCACAAACTAGGTTTTTATTATTTGTTAGATTTCCCAGGGAGAAAGGAGGAAATTAATCCATTTTAAAATAAAGTGCAAAAAAGCTAGAAAAAGTTCACTTAGAAATTTTAGAGAAAATCAACACTCAAACCAAGAACTTCATTTGCTTTGAGACATACATAAATGTGATTCACTGAATGAAATCCAAATATAATTCATTATATTTTCCTTTTCCACGATGTAAGATTAGTAAGTGTTTTAATGAACAGCAATTAATCTTTGCAACTGCCTTTTAAGTTTAGCATTAACATTTTCTAATTCATTATCTGTAATTTTCAGTTTATTACTGCATTCTGTTAAACCACAGAAAATGCCATTTATCAACCGCATGCAATTTTAATTAAATTCAAATTATAGAAATACTTTTGCAGAGAGATTCTATTTGTAATGATGTCAGGAGGAAAGGACAGATACTTACCAATATTCATCCAATAAATGTGCAGTGGTGGGATTCCTTTGGGAGGATTGCAGTGCAAAACCATTGCATCACCATGTTCTACATCAATGGGGTCAATCTTCTCCTTAGGAAATTTAGGAATACCTATTGTAATAGAAGCACCACAAGAAGTTAAATAGCATTTGTATTCTTTTCCTATTCATGGCATTCTCTTTATTATTACCTGGCTTTTTTTTATTTTTTCCTGTGTCCTTTTTATTCAGGTAGTAAAACAAAAATTCTTGAGGGAAAACTATGTTGACATATGTTCTAACTCTGGATGACTATACAGTGGAAATTTCAGGCATAGCAAAGACCCTATGTATATATATTTTTTTATTGATCATGTTTACATTCTCCCTTCCCACTATATAGATAGTAGATTTGGTTTTACCTTACAAATTAAAGGGATTGGGCTAAGAGGCCTGATGATGTCCTTTAGCACTTTCATGGAATTTAATTTTATTAAATTATTAATTTATATCATTAATTTCTAATCAATCTCCAGTTCAAAATCTAGTTGAGCTTTAAAGTCTGCTAATTACATTTAACTTGAAAGCAGTTATCTGAAAATAATTAATCTCACAAATCCCTATTCTCATGCAGTTACCATCCTGAGATTATCTTCAGAGCTGCCCTTCTAAATTTCCCAAAGATGCTATACCAGATAGATTAGAATTATCTTAATTCTAAAATATCCTCATGAATTATTTTCCCTAACATTATCTGTTTTCCTTTCCTAAATCTTTAAATCTTTTAAATTCTGTTTCAGTCTGCTGCTTTTTGGTTGATGGTTATATTGTACTTTAAAATTGTATTGGTATAAATAAGTAGAAATATAGTATAATTTTACAATCCTAAAGTTTATCAAAATAATCAAATTGTTTCCAGAGTATGTCTTTATTGACATGCTATAATTTCCTGTATTTTCAACAGAGCCTTCTAACTGTAGATAGTAGCACCATTGAAATAAATAATGGTATACAAAGGATGAATCACATTATATTGTCCTTTTTTTTAAAAAAAGGTCCAGAGTGTTATGCCTCTCATTAGGGATCACTGTACATAAACATTTATGAAAAGAAAAATGAAAAGACTCCATGTATGAAGACTCAAATTAAACCTTGTTTTATATCTTTGTCGCAAATCTTCCAACCACAGTCAGAACTTCCATCATACGCTTGAGCTTCATATTCTCTAGCTGCCAGTCTGCCATGAACTATAGGGGGAGAGAGCCAGTCAAGAGGGGTGAAAGCTAGCTACTCATCATACCTTCCAGAGACACCATCTCAAGGTCAAAGTCTTGAAATGGAATTCAGCAACTCATCAACCAGCCCGCTGTTGAAGAGACAGTTCTCAAAACAATTTATTCAAATATAATTGGACAATAAGGGACTAGCAAAGCAAAGGAACTGGATGGGGAAACTTAACCAGGAAAGTATGGCACATGAACTTTGCTATACAGCAGTGTTTCCCAAACTTTTGACATATGTGTACCCCTTCTATAATTTTTGTAACGCTGAGTACCCCTCATAAAAAACATACGCTTTAATAAAAATCAAAATATATTTATTTTTTCTTTTTTTGTACATACACAAAATAAACGAAAGTTATATTATAAAGAACATTTATTTGATTCAATGAGAAGGATGAAATTGTTTATGTTGAGATGACAGATCATCATAATTTGGTTCCCTGGTTGTTAATTTTAATCTGAGATGCGGTTCCACATCCAATAGTCTGTTCCTTTTTTTCGACTTAATGTCTACAAATGCAGAAAAAGCAACTTCGCATAAATATGAAGTTGGAAAAGGCAAGATGTATTTCAGGACTTTTTCTGTTAAAACCGGATACACATGTTGCATTTGTAACCAGAATGATGTTAAAGTACACTCCTTATGTTTATTTCTCAAGAATCCGTCCGAAGCTAACTCCAACAATTGCTCTTCTTCTGCATGCAACAAACCTTCTGGCATGGATGTTGTGTTAATGTTGAATGGATATCTTATCCATTCAATATTTTCGTTTAAATCAGGGAAATAGTTTTTCAAACCAACTTGCAAACTCTCCAAATGCTGTATTATGCATTTCAAAGTATCAGCCTCAATTTTAGTAGCCGAACTTGTTATAAACTCATGAAGAGAGGGAAACGAGTCTACTTCTCCATTACCAACTCTCTTTTGCCATAAATTTAGTTTTGCGATGGTAGCGTTCACTTTATCTTGAACATGAAACAATGAAATTTCTTTGCCTTGTGTAACGATAAATTGAGGCAATTTAAAAAAGAGAATATATCTACTAAGTATGCTAGTTTACAAAGCCATTTCCAGTCATGTAAACAATTTCTCAACTCAAATCTATCATTAAGAAAGCATTGAAGTTCATGTCTAAGTTCGAACAATCGGTTTAGAATTTTTCCCCGAGATAGCCAACGAACATCGGTATGAAAAAGCAGCTGGGTATGACTACTTCCCATTTCTTCACATATTTGTGCAAAAAGTCGTGCATTCAAAGGGCGGCTTTTAATGTAGTTAATGATTTTCATGCTTTCATCCAGAACTTTCTGTAGATCAGCGGGCATCTTACGTGTTGCCAAAGCCTCTCTGTGTATGCAACAATGTGTGGATATGACATTTGGAGCAACATTTTGAATTCTTGCAACGAGTCCTTTATTAATTCCGACCATACTTTTTGCTCCATCTGTGCTTATTCCAACACATCTATTCCAATCAATTTTGTTCTCTTGCATAAATGTATTCATAACATTAAAAATATCTTCTCCTGTTGTGTGACCTAATAAAGGCTGGCAAAATAAAAAGTCGTCATGAATTTCTTGATTTTTTTCGTATCTAACAAACGCCATAAGATTTGCAAAATTCACAATGTCGGTGGACTCATCGACTTGCAATGAATAATAACGACTTTGAGAAATATCAGATAATAACATCTGTTTTATATTATTAGACATATAAATGATTCGCCGATGAACTGTATTATTTGAGAGAGGAACGCGATCAAAAGTTTGTTTCGCTCTATCTCCTATCATTACTTCTGCCATTATCTTGGCTGCAGGCTTGATTAAAATTTCGCCAATGGTTTCCGCTGCACTACATTTGGCAATTAAAAGTGACACGCGATACGAAGCTTCTAGTATTTTTTGATTGTCACCTCCCGTCAAACCCTGCATTACTTTTCGAGACTGATTTAAACCCTTAAGTTTATTTTCAAAAGAACTATGGGTTTATCTTTGTACTGATTATGGTTTGTCTCAAAATGGCGCTTTAAGTTGGATGGTTTCATGCTTTCATTTGTTAGATTTTCAAAACAAATGACACAAAGTGGAATAGGCTCATTTTCATCTCCAGTCCATGAGAATCCAAATTTAAGATATTCTTTGTCGTACTTGCGAGTTTTCCTTGCTTTTTTCTTAACAGGTTCTTTCAGAATTGAAATTGATTCGTCGTTAATTTCATTATTTCCTGTTCATTGATTGCTATTACAATCATTACTTTCTTTCGGTTTAGTAGTTCCAGATTCAACCAGCGATCCATAATCCCTGTTAGGGATAAAAATTGTATTTTATAAAAATAATCAAAATCAGTGGAACTTATTAAAGCACGATAACAGGTGCCCGGAACTAACTATTAAAGAAGTAAGTTGTCTCTATAACGAAGTGCAGTATATTCACGCCGTGTCACGCCTCACAAGACTGTCTAACCGTTGATAACACTGCAATTCTCCGGCTTTTAAACAGCTCCGAGGCTCAATGTTAACTGTTAATGTTCCCGCAGTTTAAAAATGGCCGAACCAGAGCTGCACGAAGGATGCGCAGAAGTTCCCGTCATAATGAATTGCGATACGATGTATGATGGCCCCAGTTCCCATATAAAAACTGCGATACGCGCCTATTTCTTTCTTTGTTCTGTGGGCGCAGCTAAACATGGTGCAGTGGATATTCCCACGTGATCCCCACTAAACTCCGGTGCAATGTGTACCCCCACCAAACTCTTCCCGTATCCCTGGGGGTACGCGTACCACACTTTGGGAAACACTGCTATACAGTAAACCACTTGGCTTTTAGTAAAGTATACCTTTCACTACAAATGGAGTTGAGGGTCTTTCTTGTCTAGAGGATCAAGTCAGGGCAGGCCTGACACTGGCTAAAACTGATGTGTCATATTACCAAAAAAATGAGTGGTTTTTTTTTTAAAAGAAGAATGTTGAAACCAAACAAAATCTAGTAATAAATTTTATGAAGGTTGTAATGTGAATAGTTCTCTTTGAAAAACAAACAAACAAACCTCCTTTCTTTATATCTGTCAAGTTCCATAGCTTGAAAAACCAGTCCTAAGGAATTCCCCCTCAACCTTTTATTTGATAGATATAAATATAATGATGTAGATATATAGATATGGTATATGATATGTGATATATATGATATACATATGTATGTATGTATGTATGTATATTATATATATATAATAGATATACATACATATGTATATCATATATATCACATATCATATATACAGTTATATCCAAAGTTAAAAACAACTTAGCTTTCGCTGGTCCTCTGCCAGCGTCCTCAGAGTCCACACCCTAAGCCTCACTCTGAGGACGCTGGCAGAGGACCAGCAAAAGCTAAGTTGTTTTCAACTTTGTATATAACTGTTTTTATTGTTTTAAATATTGTTTTAACAATAAATAACTAGATTATACTCTTCCAGAGATTGAAGATTGCATTATTGAACAAATATGTCTGGGATTCGCATTTTTACAACCATTAAGGATATATATATATATATTTGTATATACGATTAAAAAGGTTAAAAATATGAACCCTGGGAATATTCATAGTGAAGATATAAAATGAACACCAGGGTAATAAAAACTGTAAAAGTTTTTAATAAATTAAAACTATAAAAGTTTTAAAAAGCGCCAAGCTTTCGCCGTCACCTGCCGGCATCCTCAGGGCTGGCGCGCCAGAGGATGAGAAGGTCTTTTTATAGGCGTGTCGAGGTCTGCGCCCGGCTCCTCGATCTTGTCATCGGGCCTAATTGGTTCAGCTGTGTGCAATTAACCTGTACTTCTTTTCTCTTTTTGGT